CTAATATGAAAAATATTTGAAGTATTTTCTATAATGACAATCCATTCGCTATATTTAATTTGACAACAATGAATTGATGGTTGATATGAAATATGATTAATGTTAAGTGCAAATGACCAAAATTGAGTTAATGTTGTTGATGATCGAACTTCTAAACGTGCTATTTTAGTAGAAGAATCAGTAATAATTAAAGCAAGTGTTTCATTTGCATAATTAATATCATGAATTGATTCATATTCTCTACATGTATCTGGTGATCTCCATCGTTTTATTAATTCAAACGAAGATAAAAGATTAAATTGAAATATATTTGCATCTGTTCCATATGTTGATAGAAAAAGAGATTTATCAGAGCATGTAGAGGACCACCATTTTTCTTGTGGAATCGATTGAATAACTTTAAATGATAGTGAACTTTCATTTATAAGATAAACAATTTTTTTATCTGTTATAATTATAAAATTAGTTAATGTTGCTGACCAAGACATATCATAAATATGTCCATATCGCCATTGTATTTGTTGAATAGGTACTAAATCTCTATTCAATAAATTTAGATAATCATTTTCATAAATTAATAAATTTTCATTATTTGCAGCAAATGCAACTCCTGATTGAGCAGAACAATCAATTGATCTATATGAAGATAAAAGTTGAAATTCATCTGTTTCTTCTATTTTAGATTCTTTAATATATGTTAAATTGTTATCGATGAACAAAGTAGGAATATTCATTTGAATACCTTTCTGTTCAATGTCTTTTATTTTTTGATCAATATAGCGAATAGCTGTTGTTGATTGACTAATATCTTCATGAGTAGCTTTTTTCTTACGAATTAACCCATTAAGTTTTGATTGCATTAGATCAATACCTTTTCGTGGTTTAGCCACTCTTTTTGTCCAATCTTGTTCAAGTTCTTTGCGTTTTTCTTCATAAATAAGATCAATTTTTTTGTAAGAATCATCACGCCATTTATCCAATTTTTGACGAAAATCATTTATTAATTTATTTCTATCAATTGTCATATACCGATTAGAAACACTTTTCATTTCTTCAACTAAATGATTAACTTCAGAATTAAGCCAATCATCATGCTCCTTTAAATGTTCACGACAGAGATTTTTCTTACATGTATTACAAAATACATCTGATGATTGTTTGCATTTTTCAATAGAGCATGGCAAAGACATGATTGAAATAATGAAAATAAATATGAGTCTCTTTTTCACTATTCACATATAGTATAAACACTATTTTCTCGATGTTTGGATTCCCTTCTCCAAGATGTCATCATTTCTTATTTTTCGACTACATTCACTCATTCTATCACGCAATCAAACTATGTTCTTCTGCATCTGATTTCGTAACAAAACTAATGTAAAAAAGAAACATTCCAATATCCATGGATTTATCATTCATAATTTCTGATGGTTTTTGTTACACTCTTTTTAGTCTAAAATGAATCGAGAAAATATTATGATTTGGTTTTTTCTTATTTTTAAAATATGTTAATGTATTTATAGGTTGCTTCAAGAAAGCTCATAAAATGAACTAAAATAGATATGAATCCATATTGCTTGTGCTTTATTGAAGTTGATAAGTGTGTATGCGGAAGAAGAGGAGACACTAACTTACTGTAACAATATATACAAATTCTCAGATATCAATGCACACCCGTGCGTACCATACGATTCTGGTGAGCATCACACTGAAAGCATGTTAGTAAACTTGAATAGAAAAATAGAATCAGTTGATTCTTGAAATATTGTCTGTTTAGTTTTTCTTGCAAAAAATAAATGCCATCCTAAAAAAGTTACATTTGCAATGTTCAATCACAGTATGCATCGTTTCTATTCCTTCTTTATTGATAAAAGGTAGACAGTTGTCTTTTGCTTTGAAAAAGGAGGGGGACGAATAAGGCCAAATCTTTTAAACTGCTTCAGAACTAATTTGTTTCTATT